TGACCATTACCAACTTTTTTTTTTCCTTTCATTTTTTTTTCTCTCTTCTTTTTTTTCTCCCTCCCTTCGCCACTGAGAGATTTACGCCATCGTAACTTCTCTGTTAAATTTGCCCAAATAAAACATGAATTTAAAGTGTATGGCGTGATTAGGAGGTTGCGGAAGAAATCATCCCTTTGTACCGACATTACGGGACAGGATGACCCATATTGTCCGTAATGGAGGGGCACCATAAAGACCAGTTAGTAGCGTTACAATTAGACAAACTAGCCCTTAGCGCAGGTAAGTTTTGGGTTCGAATTCGCGAAATTTGCCACATTACCTGATGAGCGGTTTAATATCCGATGAAATTGACTTTTTGGAACAACGAGATGCTATCTTGATTGCGTATGATGATATCTTACGCAAGGTGGAGACGGCGGCGGCTGTGACATATTAATAGTCGTGGATAATAAGGCTACTGCTCCAGCGCTGATGTCTTCTCTTTCTCTTCTCTTTATCAGTATACCTTACCCTCTGCCTGTTTGAAATTGTATATATCATTGCACTCACATACTGAAACACTCATTTTCCTACTGGATATAATTATTTCCATTTCTCTCTATCCTCTATCCTCTCCCTTTCTTTCTCCTCCTCTCTCTCTCTCATCTCGTCTCCTTCAGCACCAATAAAGGCGGAAATGCCAGGCCCTTTCGTCGCGTTCTCGCCCTTTCCGACACTCAGGAATGAACCTCAATAAAACACCCAGATCTGAAGCAGCAACTCCACCGTCGAGGCGTTGACATATCGGGTATAAACGGCGGTATCACTCCGCTAGTTTACACCTTGTATTGGGCACGACGCAGCGGCTGTGGCGAAATATGGGTTTGGATCCCGTGTCGCAGGAGGGCCTTATTGCAGCAGAAAGGGATTGAATATCATAGATCCCGGCGTTTGGAATTTGCACTTCCATCTGCTGGCTTTCTCTTTAGCCGTGCTCTTCCCATCAGTATATACTATGATAGTTTTATCTGCTCTCATCTCAACAAATCAATGCTCAGACAACATATATATATATATATATATATATATATATGTATGTGTGTGTGTGTGTGTGTGTGTGTGTGTGTGTGTGTGTGTGTGTGTGTGTGTGTGTGTGTGTGTGTGTGTGTGTGTGTGTGTGTGTGAGTGAGTGTGTGTGTGTGAGTGGATGGAAGGATGGATGGATAGATAAATAGATAGATAGATATATAGATAGACAGATAGATGGTTAAATGGATGTATAAAAGTATATACATTGGTAAAGTGTATGTGTGTATCTGTGCGCAAGGATATGTACGTGTATACATGTACACTATTCGTATATATTAACCACAACTAGAATAGTCAATATTTACATGCATTCCTTTTACTTCGATATATTTATTGTTATTCTTTACGATCTCTCCTTCAAACATATTCACCTGCTACAGTAACCAAAAATTCCTATTATTGTTTTGCGATTTCTCTCGAAATTCCCCAGAATCAGTTTTTCTTTCAAAAATCTTTTTCCCCCGGCACAAAAAGTGAGACCGGGAAAGGCCAGTCCCTTTCCACTGTCTCCAAAATATCCAGCGGACAAAATCCCGACGTGAAATATTAATCCCGACTCCGAATCACATAAAACAAAGAAGAAGAAGAAGAAGAAGAAAAAAAAAAAAATACGCGGAAGAAATCTGTTTTTATGACTTAATACAAATCAGCTTTTAAGTCGCTTGTTAAAACCAGAGTCGGGCCCCATGATTATGCTCGAAACGCCATGGTCTATACATAAACATTCTTTCAGCAACTTGCTCAATGATGCAAGGATGTTGAATGCTGCAATGGACAATAAATGATGTATCCTGCTCCTCGTAGTGTTGGCCTTGCCCTAGGATGGGATTGTAGGGTGAGGGTAGTCCTATGGTAGTGTGACATGGCCGGAAGGAAAATATGTATTGGAAACAAAAAGAATATAGGATAAGGTAAAGAAGATAAAGAAGAGGGAAAACTTGTAGATGATGCGAAACCAAAGAAGCTAGGAGAGAGGAATGAAGAAGGGGACAAAGAGAGAAGAAAAAGATTTGAGTGCGCGGCGAAAAAGGGGGAAAGAAATTGGTCGTTAAGAGGAAAGTAAGAAAAGAGGAAGGGCGTTCTGACGTTCAAGGTTCTGCAGGAGAAATAGCCACGGGGAATGGAATGAACAATATGGTCTGATATAATCCCATGAACAACACTTTATATCAGGTTTTGTTATATTTCCCTTTTTTTTAAGAACTCTCGGTTAAAATGTCATCTCCCTATGGCTAGAATAATCCTCTTTGATAAGTTTTCTACATTTGTTGGGATTTAGTTCCCATGGCCGAATGTCCAGGTGTGTTTCTTCAAAATACGTAAACATCTGTTGTGTTTCGACAAGTACACCTGCCAGTCACCCGCAGCCCGTCCTCTACTCACACTATATATTTTCCACGTTTTCTCAGTACTACAGTGGCAACCTACTATTATGTTCACTTTCTACACACTAAACAAATGTTCATGAAAAGTTTCCGTGTTAGAGCAACATTTGAGGCACCTGTATATCGACTGCCCCGCCTTTCTCTTCTTTTTGCCCTACTCCTCGTCCTCCTACTTCCCTCTTCTCACATTCTCCTTCCTCCTCCCCCTCCTCTTCCTCTTTCTTCATTTACTCTTCCTTCTTCTCTCTTCTACCCCCCTCCCTCCTCCTCCTCCTCCCCTTCCTCCTCCTCCTCCCCTTCCTCCTCTCCTCCCCTTCCTCCTCCTCCTCCCCTTCCTCTTCCCCCTCCTCCTCCTCCTCCTCCTCCTCCTCCTCCTCCTCCTCCTCCTCCTCCTCCTTACCATTCATCCCCCCCCCTTCCTCCAACGCATACACATCCCACAACCAAGAGTTATTGGACTTCATATGATGTGTTACTTAATATTTTCCTTGCCACGGCCACCTTCGGAATTACACACTCAGGTGTATGTATTAGGTCATAACAATAGAGATAAATTGACATACAGTGCATTGCTCTTCGCCAGCGTCCAATAGCACAATAGCTTATCTACATTATGAATTATAAATGCATCATGTATCGATGATATGATCCGATTTTCCATGTTAGAGAAACTGCGAATCCATCAGTAACAGAGGTAGGAGATAAACAAACAGAGACAGTAGAAAGATGGATAGATAGATAAAAAAATAGAAGACAGAAAGGTAAATGAGAAATGAGAGAGAGGATGAGAGTAGGTGAGGCAGAGAGAAAGAGAGAGAGCCTCTGTGTGTGGTGTATTCTCAACCTGTTGTAAACAGATATGTGTTTTTACGACTATCTTTCGGGATATCTTACCAAAAGTGGTCCATAAAGTCTGCGTTGATTATGTGGTGACAAAATAGCCTATCCGCCTGATCTACCTACCGCGCTTCAGATCCGCTGGGATTCCCGTTAAGCATTCGCGATGAGGCTCATGGCTACACAAAAGGCATTTTCTTCATAAACAAGGTTCATTTGCTCGTGCTATCCGTAGGAAAAATCGCTTCTATATAAAACCCCTCGGAAAAAAATTGGTTATTCTTTCAGCTCGGCGGCGGCGGGCGGGCGGCAGCAGCGAGAAATAAGGCCCTGATACATCATTCACGAACCGGCGATCCCTACAGAAGTGTCGGAGCTTTTAGTCGGAGTTTTTACGAGTCGTCTAAATTAGTGGAGCGAGTTGACGCCGTGTCTCGCAGGCCGGGGCTCGATGCACGCCTGCGACCAGGGGGCCTCGGAGGGTCCCTGCGCGGTGGGCGGGGTCGGCAGGAGGAGGGGGGAGGGGCGTAAGGGGAAGGAAAGTAGAAGAATGGGAGGAGGAGGAGGAGGGGAAAGGGGCGCGTGGAAAGAATGACAGGTTAAAGAACGAAAGCCGGTAAAATATTCACCGAGTTGCTTCGGAGGGAATAAAAAGGCTGCATCGTTGGTGCCGGAAATTAGCCTACGGTTAAAGGAAAATCAAGAGAAGAAGCAAGTAATGCTAAAGCAAATTGTGATAATAAACAAACAGTTAAATATACAACAAATAAACACAAACTACGACTAAATTACCCCCAGCGAAACGAGCGAATAGGGACAAGAACTGATCGCACGGGGGAATAACAACCAAAGGGAACCGAAAACGACAGTGGTTGAGTCCACCAGACGAACCAAACGACTAAACAAAATAAAGAATAAAAAGAAGTCAAAGAGAAATAAAAAAAAAAGAATGGAAGGGATAATTTGAAGAGGCAAGAAGAACGGATAACAGAGTGGGAACCTGGAGGCAGAGGACAGGAGGGAGAGATATAAGAGCTCTTATATCTGTGAGGTAATATAAGAGGGTCATCAAGTTGCTGGAGGTTTGTGGCCCCCCGCTGCCGCCGAGGGGGGAAGGGGGGGGGGGGACATGTACTCGTGGAGCGGGGAAAGATGGACGATGCGCTGGTTCGGAGATTTTATAATTTCCTTTCACTATTATCATTGTTCGGGAGATCTCCTGATGTCACCATTGCCATCAACAATAACAATTGCACTTACGCGAATAATAACATATTTTCAAAGCCCACACACACACACACACACACACACACACACACACACACACACACACACACACACACACACACACACACACACACACACACACACACACACACAAACATATATATATATATGTATGCATAAACAACTTTTTCGGTCTTCAATCCCTCAGACCTTCAGAAAGCAATGCCAGCCGAACACCAGGAACAAAAAAGGAGAGAAAACTGCATCCGAATCCGTCCGAAGCGAAACCCTCCCCGGCCCTTCGCCTCGAGATCAAAGAACAAGTTCCTCGCCGGAGCGTCGGGCGTCGGAGGCATAATCAGCCGACCTCATCCCGGAAATGATTACCGAGTTCATAATTCCCTTCCTACTGACAGTTCACATCTTTCTCATGCTTTCCCTGCGCAATCTGTTGCATGACGAGATTTGGGTTTGACTTACCCGTAGGCGGCGAAGGTGGGGTCGTAGGGGTAATACCCTGCCGGCGAAGCCCCGAGGCCGCTGCCGTACATGGAGACATCGCCGGCGCCGCCCTCCTTCATGCCGTAGCCGGAGCTCTGTAACGGAGAAAAGGACATTAGTTTGGCCGCGACTTCACGGTTCTTAGGAAGTAAATAGTAGAAAACAGAACACAATACCCTGAAATAATATTACTGTTAGTGTAGCGAACTCCATCCCCTATAAATACAATCGCCGTAATGAGGTTATTAAAGTCATTACTAAAAATGCACTAATAATGAAACGCTGAAGTCGGCGCAGTTCGACCCTCGTCGCAGTAGAGAGAAGATCCGGGCAGGTGTAGCACATCCCGCTACCGTGTTCGTCATATCGATCTCGCAGCGACTGTATGGGCGGCAGACCGAGTAAAAATAACAAGAATGTGTCATCCCAAAACACACGTAACATAAGGGTCACTTTTGGTCACGGTTATGCAATGGCTTGGCGACATATATGCTTGTGTCACGTCCTGTCATGGGCGTGTGGTGATATATCCCCCTTTCGCGGTGCTACTTACGAGGGGGGAGGCGATGGCAGTTGGGGGAGGATATATTGATTGTTATTTCACACCCTATCGCGCTGTCGCCCTCCGAGGCCCGCCGAGGCCTTGGAGGAAGAGAGATAATCGTCGGTGGAAGGACGGAAGCCAGGCGCTGGCGACACGACATCCTCTTCCATCTGAATTCTCTTTCTTCCTCTTCCATCCACTCAGTTTTCTTCTTCTGTCCACCTCTTTCCCTCTTTCGTCCACTCTACTTCCCTCATAACTCTGTCTCGTTCTCTCTTTTTCTCTTTTTTCTCCTTTTATCCTTTTTTCTCTTTTCTTTTCTTTGTGTTGTGTTTCTCTTTTTCATTTTCCTTCCTCTTAACCTTGCTCTCTCTCTCTCTCTCTCTCTCTCTCTCTCTCTCTCTCTCTCTCTCTCTCTCTCTCTCTCTCTCTCTCTCTCTCTCTCTCTCTCTCTCTCTCTCCTCTCAACACACACACACACACACACACACACACACACACACACACACACACACACACACACACACACTATTTTATGAACTACCGAAGACTATAATAAACACGTTGTGTTTTCATAGTCATCACCAAAACAGTCCGTAAAATCGAACGCTGCAATGCAATGCCTCACGATGTTGCAACGGAGCAAATATAAGTATTAATCAGCCGAAACGATCAGAAATATCCAGTCATCGCAAAGGGAGATTTTCATATAGAAAACCTTTGAACAAACAAGTGCTGGGAGAAAAATGATGAATCGGGGACCATTATTAAGGGACTAGATCCTCTTCAGCCACTTATTGCTTCTCTTAAGTGATCCTGTGCTTTGACCAATGGCTAGAAATTGTAAAATGGCTCAAGACCCGAACTACCTCCCCGAAATTCATTATTCTGATTTTTGCCTCCAAGTCAGAGGGGAGCCAAAGAGTGGGGGCGGTGGAAGATCTAGGTAAATACTATACATACACACAAACACACACGGACATACGCACGCGCGCGCGCACACACACACACACACACACACACACACACACACACACACACACACACACACACACACACACACACACACACACACACACACACATACACACATACACATGGACAGATAGACAGATACACGCAGAATCACACAGATACACATAAACGTACACACGCACATATATGCATATATAAACAGCTATAAATATATACAGGAACAATTCTAAAACACTCAGGAAAGTCGTTAGTATTATATGCACGTGTAGGAAAATTAGAAAAAGAAAAAAGGGTAAAAGAGAGGAAAGTTGATGAGCGGGGAGAGGAAGCAATTGGCAAAATGTGGCCATTACACTCCATCAGCTGATAATCTGGGAGCAACAAAGGAAGTTGCTGCCCGGATGCGGTGCTTGAGTAAGAAGCAGGAGTTCGACGAGGCGCTGAGCAAGCACATGCGTCGCCCCAAGAACTGCAAGCAAACGCATCGCAGCGGAACTCGACGATAGAAGCTCAGCCGTAACTCATCCGTTCCCCGCAAGCGCCCGCAAGCACGCACACTCATCGCTCTCAATCTACGCCCACAATGAATCGGTGGGAGGGACTTGTTATTAGCACTCCTGCTTGCCTGCCAAAAGCTGGGCGGCTGATCGTATCTGATTTATTTTGCGGTTTCGGTTCTGGTCCGTCGTGTGCACCAAGAACGCGTTTCGGAACCATGCAGTGAGGTGTGGATGGATACGTTGTTTTATGCTTGTTGAGTAAAGGGATGTATGAATGGGATTATAAAATACATATTGGTAAGGGTTTAGGGATACTAGGGGTAAATATGTGATTAATCAATATCATACGTATAATATGTACCAGTGATTGTACGGATTACGTTGATTAATCTGTAAGTAAATTGATGAATGATATAAAATCTTCATCCAAGAATACACATACAGCTCCCTTCGATCAAAGTCGGTTCGACAAAAAGGTAATCTCTTATTATTGATTTTTCAACAATTAATCATAAGTTTAGCAACTTTTATTGGAAAAATTAAGTCCTTCTCGTAATACCTCCATGTCCTCGCATTCCTCCCTCCCCTTCCTCCCCTTCCTCCCTTCCCCCTTCCCCCTTCCCCCTTCCCCCTTCCCCCTTCCCCCTTCCCCTTACTTGCTCCAGGCCGACATACTAGTTTAATTAGCAGTTGTTATTGCTCTCGAAAAAAGGGAAAAATGTTCTTACTTATGCGGAGGAATGTATTAATGTGTCACAGAGCAACGTGGCATGAATATTAAGCAGGTTATAATGCGTCCTATTCAAATTGGATGAATTCATTGCCAATATGGATACAGGGATTGATAAAACGTGGCTTCCTTCATTATATGCCGAGTAATTAGGGAGATCTGCCGTTAGATTGATTCAGCTGACATTTCTTTCTGCTCATGGGGATTTCTTAATAGGAAAATTATTCAAGCAATGCCAAAGGCCGCGCTGAAACACCGCCGGCACAAAAACAGACGAGCAGGAACGTGGAAGGGCATCGCCAGGGAAATATAGCATCAATTAGATCTAATCCAGCGTGAGTTACCCTCCGCCCTCGCCACTTGACGGCCTCCAAAACGTCTATACAACCAATATTAGCCGCTCCGAGAAACAATATTCCCCTCAATAGAGTCGGATCGTTTATATACACTACCGGATCCTCTATCGGAACCTACAGAGAGGTTCTTGGTATTCAGTTCTGCACGTGGGGCTGTTTACTCAGGGAACGTAAGCTTGAGACCGCCCGCTGCTCGGTGCACTGGGGACGGCTGATGTGTGCACCTCTCCCGGTGGGAATCGTTCAAGAACATCGTCCACAATTATTCCACGATATCGATCGTTGAAATTGATTGGCACGTTTGACGTATCAGTATTTCCTCAGCGTTTTTATGGGGCTTATTACTGTAATTAGGGCCGCATCAGCCATCCATCATCAGCGAGAGGACTCGGGGCTAAATGCACTATCCTTGTTTCCAGGATCGTAAAAATAATCAGTAATATTTCACCCCCGACAAAACAAGGGAGGAACTCTGGCTTACTCTCGAGTTATCAGCTCGGAACATCCGTTCCCCCTTCCCCCTTCCCCCTTCCCCCTTCCCCCTTCCCCCTTCCCCCTTCCCCCTTCCCCCTTCCCCCTTCCCCCTTCCCCCTTCCCCCTTCCCCCTTCCCCCTTCCCCCTTCCCCCTTCCCCCTTCCCCCTTCCCCCTTCCCCCTTCCCCCTTCCCCCTTCCCCCTTCCCCCTTCCCCCTTCCCCCTTCCCCCTTCCCCCTTCCCCCTTCCCCCTTCCCCCTTCCCCCTTCCCCCTTCCCCCTTCCCCCTTCCCCCTTCCCCCTTCCCCCTTCCCCCTTCCCCCTTCCCCCTTCCCCCTTCCCCCTTCCCCCTTCCCCCTTCCCCCTTCCCCCTTCCCCCTTCCCCCTTCCCCCTTCCCCCTTCCCCCTTCCCCCTTCCCCCTTCCCCCTTCCCCCTTCCCCCTTCCCCCTTCCCCCTTCCCCCTTCCCCCTTCCCCCTTCCCCCTTCCCCCTTCCCCCTTCCCCCTTCCCCCTTCCCCCTTCCCCCTTCCCCCTTCCCCCTTCCCCCTTCCCCCTTCCCCCTTCCCCCTTCCCCCTTCCCCCTTCCCCCTTCCCCCTTCCCCCTTCCCCCTTCCCCCTTCCCCCTTCCCCCTTCCCCCTTCCCCCTTCCCCCTTCCCCCTTCCCCCTTCCCCCTTCCCCCTTCCCCCTTCCCCCTTCCCCCTTCCCCCTTCCCCCTTCCCCCTTCCCCCTTCCCCCTTCCCCCTTCCCCCTTCCCCCTTCCCCCTTCCCCCTTCCCCCTTCCCCCTTCCCCCTTCCCCCTTCCCCCTTCCCCCTTCCCCCTTCCCCCTTCCCCCTTCCCCCTTCCCCCTTCCCCCTTCCCCCTTCCCCCTTCCCCCTTCCCCCTTCCCCCTTCCCCCTTCCCCCTTCCCCCTTCCCCCTTCCCCCTTCCCCCTTCCCCCTTCCCCCTTCCCCCTTCCCCCTTCCCCCTTCCCCCTTCCCCCTTCCCCCTTCCCCCTTCCCCCTTCCCCCTTCCCCCTTCCCCCTTCCCCCTTCCCCCTTCCCCCTTCCCCCTTCCCCCTTCCCCCTTCCCCCTTCCCCCTTCCCCCTTCCCCCTTCCCCCTTCCCCCTTCCCCCTTCCCCCTTCCCCCTTCCCCCTTCCCCCTTCCCCCTTCCCCCTTCCCCCTTCCCCCTTCCCCCTTCCCCCTTCCCCCTTCCCCCTTCCCCCTTCCCCCTTCCCCCTTCCCCCTTCCCCCTTCCCCCTTCCCCCTTCCCCCTTCCCCCTTCCCCCTTCCCCCTTCCCCCTTCCCCCTTCCCCCTTCCCCCTTCCCCCTTCCCCCTTCCCCCTTCCCCCTTCCCCCTTCCCCCTTCCCCCTTCCCCCTTCCCCCTTCCCCCTTCCCCCTTCCCCCTTCCCCCTTCCCCCTTCCCCCTTCCCCCTTCCCCCTTCCCCCTTCCCCCTTCCCCCTTCCCCCTTCCCCCTTCCCCCTTCCCCCTTCCCCCTTCCCCCTTCCCCCTTCCCCCTTCCCCCTTCCCCCTTCCC